GCGTCTTATACTGATTTGCTTCGATTTCGTTCTAATTCAAGCAAGGACTGAGTATTTTTGGATATTCAAAAGACGGTTTGAGATATTCAGAAAAGTTATTATTGCAATTTTCTACTGAATCAGGTAGACCTGAAATTTACTTTACATGCCACTTGAACTACATAATACCTATTTGAAAGTGAGGTTTTTTTTTGTGAGTGAAAATTTTACGAACAAAATAAAACTTATTTTAACACAAATATTGTACAAAGTTTTTTGTACAACTGTCCTGTTTTCATAATGAAATAATAAAAATAATTCAAGTGGCCTTGTCAGGTGACACTCTGGCTGGTGTTTGATGTTTTTCATAATGAAGAACAATAGTGAGGAATTGGGTGTTCCTGACAATAGTGAAGAGGCTGCAAAAAGAGCTTCAATCGAATTGTTGCTAAAAAAATCGGCTCAGCAGTACGACATCGCATATTCTAATTTTCTTAGCTGGTGTAGACTTAAAAAACGTTGAATGCAATTTAATCGAAACCATCTTCTTAGCCTATCTAGAGGAAAAATAAAAAATCCTCTCGTCAACTTTATGGAGCAAGTTTTCAATGATAAAGTCGGGTGCGCTCGTTGAAAGCAAAAAATTAAGGTTGTAGGCCAACACCGGGAAAAATGATTGAAATTTACCTCGGAATTTTCATTTCGAACGAAGAAAATTACTTCAGTTTTATTGAAAATATACTCTCTCTATTGAATAATTCACATCCCCGAGCGTAATTTCAGTAGGCAATGTACTTTTCTTTGAGAATTGAATATTCATCTAATATATGTGTGAAATCATAACGTATTATTTCATGTGAAGAGAATTACTAACTGGACGATGGAACACAAAAGTACACTCAAAATGAAAAATTACTCTGAAAAATTCCACACTTGTCTTCGGGGTAGAATTACAAAATAATATTCCGCATGGAATGTGAGATCACACACGAAAGTAATTTCTCGCTAATATGGGCGGTAATTAAATTGCCACCGGTACCGGTGGAAAATTTTTTACCAGTGAAAAGAATAAAAAACTCTTACGTTTGAACAAGGTTTATAAATGAGTTGTCAGATAAAAAATATTTGATGATAAAAGTTGCTACTATTTTCGGAATATATGGAGCCTGCCGGGGTGAAGAGCTGTGCCATTCATGAATAGAAGACATCAAATTAATGGATGAATCATTGATTGTTCAAATTCCAAATACAAAAACGAAAATAGGATGTTTTTGCATTGTTGGAAAAGAAACATTTACTATTTTAATAAATATATTGCATTTTGCCCTTTTGTTATCATTCATCAACGTTTTTTTCTGCAGTGCTGAGCCAGTAAGTATGAACACGTTTGGGAAAATGTCCTGTACCATTGCTGAGTTTCTGAACCTCCCGGAACCAAAGGTTACTGTTTCAGACAGTCTTTTGCTTCTTTGCTAGCAGAATTATGAGTAAATATTGATATATAAATATGATATTGAGAAGAACGGAGGATGGAAGTCTACAACAGTAGCTGAAGGTTACATCGACCAACCTGTTTCTTATAAAAATACTATTGCTGGAAGAATAATCCCAACAGCTAGAGCCCCAGCATTACAGCATCGCCCTCTTCACTTCAAGAATTAAATGTCAATGCCATGAAATTGTCAACTCGGATACTTCAAATATATTACAAGGGTCCTCAACTTCGCAAGGTATTGATATCAGCAGTTATTCTTATTGTACTTTCCATATTAATGTTCATAAATAAATATTTGGCGTGTTCGGGAATTTTCTGCTATCGAAAAAAGGATAAAAAAATTTGCATCAAATATTTTGAAAAAAAAATTAATTTAGTGTTCAAAAACATTTGGAATGTTGAGAGTGGCATACGGTGATTGTACTATGAATCAGCGGTACAAGCTTCCCACAGAAGGTTAAAAATATCTGAAAAAAACTATATATATTGCAGGAACAGTACCTAAAAATTCTTCACCGCAAACCAGTTAAATACGCATCATAATTACTATTTGAAGAGGAAAAAATATTCGATATGAGACACCTATATTTTGTCAAAGTTAGTGAACAGTATGAAAATCGAATGATTCTTAATTATACCAAAAAGTTAATCAATAGAGTTTATTGTATGATTTTCACTATAAGGGTTTTACAAAAACAGCGACACGTCTACCTGTCTACCTGTAAATATACATAACTATTTTTACCTGCGAATGAACAGATTTAATAATGGCGAATTATTCAATTCAGTTTGATCGTTCATGAGTTGAGAGTTTTTGAATTTGTTTATTTACATTCCCTCTAACAGGTTGACCCACTGTGGGTCATGTCCGATGTTTTATATAGGTCAAACTGGAAGAACGTTCAAAACCCGCATAAGGGAACACAAATATAGTTTTCAGAACAAAAAAATAAATACCACATATGCCAGTCATCTAATCTCAGAGGGACATGAGTTTAACCATGAATACAAACCCCTTCAGTTCCAGAAGAAAGGTTTGAAACTTAACCTGTTAGAGGGTATGGAAATAAACAAATTCAAAAACTCTCAACATCCTATGAACGATCAAACTGAATTGAATAATTCGCCATTATTGAATCTGTTCATTCCCAGGTAAAAATAGTTAGGTATATTTACAGGTAGACTTTCGAGATATCTCTCTTTTTCAGGTATATTTTCAGGTAGATTTATTACTTAGGTAGACGAATAGGTACTAGGTTATAGTATATAAGGTTTTAATTTAGAAGTAACTCTCAGTTATGCTTGAAGAAGCTATTGTAGAGCGAAACAAGTGTCGCGGTTTCTGTAAAACCCTTATAGTGAAAATCATGCAATAAACTCTATTGATTAGTTTTTTAATATGGATTTTCATCAAGTAAAGGCCAGTTCTATTCAATTAATGCCAAAAAGTGCTTCGAGTATTGAAAAAAACGATGGCACAAGTGTATTACATCTGAGGGGGATTACTTTCGGGGAAACAATATAGAAATTGATGAATAAATAATTTTTTGAGAAAAATGGAAATTTATCGTTTCATGAATAATATGAACAATCATTCTTTTTGAATTCTTGAATTGTTGTCAATATGGACTTTATGTCACCCAAATGCAACACGTTCATCATCAATGGCGGACATCGATGTTTCGATGTAAAACACTCGTTAAATCTACTCATATCACGTTGATAGTACGTAATGACATTCATATACCTTTCTGATTTAATCCCAATCATAAGAAATTTTCCCAGATTTTTATGAAGATGAAGAAGATAGATGTAGTTTCATCAAAGTTATAAGAAGTTTTTTATGAATTTACATTTAGCCGCAATGTGGAATTAAGATTGAAAGAGTTGAAAATTCACAGCTTAGAAGATTGAAGCTATGGACCTTTAAAACAAATCAAACTGCGATAGGTCTCGACACATAAACAATTACATAACCTAATTGATGTAGCCATCACGTGGTAGCAGATCATCTTGAAAAACCAGGAATGAAACTTTCTATATTTTCATCATTTTCATTTGTAACTACCGTTACTGCAGTTTCATCCGATATGGACATTTTCTAACCAATCACAAAATCTTTAGTGAAAGCCTATTTAGTTTTCAAAGCAATAAAAATACGAACAATGCCATCTTTTCATTTCTTAATGATATTTATTCAAAGTTTAATTCTGGTAATGTAGCAGCTGCGGTCTTTTGTGATCTTTGTAAGACGTTTTATTGCATTGATCATAATATCTTGCTATCTTGCAATACTGCTGCAGAGAAACAGGACTTTCAGAAAATGAAGGAAATTTTGCGTCGTATTACACAAGGATCAGTTTCAGGGCCCATCTTATTCTTATTATATGTCAATAACATTACAAATTTGATAAATTCTGGAAATTTCACTCTTTTCGCTAATGAACGACGATATTGTGGAACAACAAAAGTCAAATGATTTACACAATGCAATATCTACTATGAAAAAAAAATCAAGATTTGGTGTGATGCTAATTTGCTATCCTTCAATATCACTTGATCAAACATTTTATCATTTTATTTTGTAAGTGGGATACATTCCTAATATACAACAACAAAATTATAACTAACAAATAATTGAATAATATACCTACCTTCAGTTACATTTGTTATGAATATGATGCAGTAGATCAGTTTTAAACCTTTTTGAAGTTGATGCTGATTTAATTGAATGAGGCAATTTGTTATCCATATAGAACGAAACTGCAATAACGTTATTTACAAATGAAAGTGGTAAAAAATGAAAAAATAAACATACAAAGTTTCATTTCTCATTTTTCGTGATTGAATAATTAGTTATTTTCTAATTTTGTCTCTAGAAAAATGTTGAAAAAACCATGGTACTGAACAAAAAAAAACTTTTTTTTCTGGGAATTGATGTTAATAGGCCTCCCTGATTCCTTCAAGATTTTTCCAATTTTCAGTACTAAGGAACCCACAAGAGCTGGTGGTGTGATAACGGTTTTTGATAAACACGTCAAATGCTATTTTTTCATTCAAATTTTGGTTCACAAAAATAAAGAGGAGGATTTATTGTAGAGGGCGAAGTGAATATTAAAATTTTCCGATAGGAAACGTGTTTTCTTCAGAATTGCATATGATAATACTAACTTATACACTTATAGAAAATATAAAAAAATCCTCGAAATTAGTTTGAGAATTCCTTCTTCAATATTCCATCTTGAAGTGTTGAAAGAAAGGAGTAACGGATGTATACATTTTTTATACTCGTACATTATACTATTTCACCTGTGGAGGAAAAAAGGTATCCCATATTGTACAACATATTGGTCACTTGAATGATACTCTCCGATATATTTAGCGTAATTGTTATCATTATCAGAAAACCAGCGTGTGGTCAACTGTTTTTGTCGTTGAGAACTTCCTGTTGGGACAATTATCTCTTCTTTATGTTTATCAACAGTCAAATACAATTTGAAAAGTGAAGTGACGAGTTAGGTGAGTGAACAGGCACATCTCTTTCATATTTCATTGGTTTGTTAGGTTGAGAAACGTGTCGAATTGAATATTTATTAGTTGAAGATTTATAATTTTTCAACAAGGATTCAAAGTGACCTAGGTGAGCAATAAAAATTAGAATGAATCAACTAAGTGAATACCTACTGACGGTTAGCCGTTTTCTGGAAAATATGTCCTGAAAATTTTTCAAATACAGCCGTGACTCACGGTCGATGGTAGGTTAGACGTTTCTGGAAAACGCAAAGCATGATTTTTCTGAAAATTTAACCTCTTACATTTCCTTACCTGTTCTATCGATCTGAAATATTTTCAGCATTGCGGCGTTGCCACTTCCATCAAAAAGTCCTAGCAACTTTATTTTTTTAAATGGAACACCCCGTATATTAATACATTTTTGGAATCGATCTGGTATTTCAATACTTTTCTGTCGATAATGTCCTATACCTATCTCTATCTGTTTTCGAGATAAAAAATAAATTGTGCTTAATATGGTCCAAAATATAGCCTTAATTGAAATTAAGTACATCAGTACTCTCAATTCATGAANCCTAAATCTTTTTCTGCACTGCGAATGGAAGCTTCTGGATATGCATAAAAATATGCCAAAACGTTAACAGTATTGTCCTCATTTGAAGTAACAGGTTTTGGTAATGTTGAAGGCGCTTTTAACATGAAGCCGTAGTTAAGGAAATTATTTTGTAATCTTACAAAGTTCCTCTCGTTCATTAGTGTTAATTCAGGATATATTTGGTTGCATTTTCTACAAGTTCTGGCAATGATTTGATCAAACTGTTCGTGTTTAATAAATAATTTCATAAGAACTTCGTTTGAATAATCAATATTTGCATTAATTTTTGGCGCTTTTTTGAAACACCGTCATTAACCATTTATCAATTACTTATAAAAGTCACCAAACTGTCATAAGCTTGATATTTCCACGGCTACCTAGAAATCAAATAAAAGAGATTGAAAATCTCTTTTATAGAAACACTTCAATCAGAACACCTACCAAAAAATCATTCAGAAAAGTTCACACATGCAGTTCGTGCTATTGGTAATATTAAATCCCTGTGAAGTTACTGACGATGACGAAGTAGTATTCAGTCCAACTGTAGAAAGTCCTTCATGACTAACCAATAATCCTCCTTAAAATAACGTGAGTTGGCGTATGTAGTTGTAACATATGCCTTGTAATCCAAAGATCGTGTGTTCAAATCCCATGGACCCTATAATTTTTTTATTACCAGCAGTAACGTTATACAAAAAAAATTTTATGATACATTTCTTAAAAGTGATTCTATTTTGCTCGTGAGTTTGCTCCACTTGCTGACGCTCGTTTTGCAATAATCTCCACTCACAAAATAAAATGCCACTTTCAACACTTGTAGTTAAAACGTGAATAACTATTTTTCGACAAAAACGGCTTTATTAAGAAAACTTGACGATTTAGATAGAGGGACATGTATATCATCTTGAATCATTTTTCACCATCTTTCAATTTATCGAGTAATATACAGGGGGTACCATTTGAAAAAATGAACTTTCGACTACTTTTTTGCACAATGGAAATAATAGTAATTTTAGCACGCCCTGTATGATATGGAGTCGATTTGTTGGTGTTATTTGAATATTTCGAGTTTGTCCAAACTATCATCAAAATATCAACTTTTCATGAATTGAGAGTACTGATGTAGTTAATTTCAATTAAGGCTATGTTTTGGACCATATTTAGCACAATTTATTTTTTATCTCGAAAACAGATAGAGATTGGTATAGGACATTATCAACAAAAAAGTATTGAAATACTAGAGCGATTCCAAAAATGTATTAATATACGGGGTGTTCCATTAAAAAAAATTGCTATGACTTTTTGATAGAAGCGGCAACGCCGCAATGCTGAAAATATTTTAGATCGATAGAACAGGTAAAATCATACTTTGTGTTTTCCAGAAACGTCTAACCTACCATCGACCGTGAGTCACGCTGTATACGTTTTTCATTATTTACTTTATCGAATAGTAATAATGGCGTTTATTCAACATTTCCCATTGAACCAGATGTTGGTACCAACTTCCTCAGCTCAAATGTAATACATTGTATATTTTCACATTTTTGAATAGCTGCCGTAATTCTAAATATTTGGTTTATATAGATGAGTGGGAAAATAGGGATTCAAATGACAGAGTGATGATTGAAAATACTTCTGAATACAATCGATTGCTTCAAAAACACTTCACTAACTTTCTGCGAAAGCTTCTAATAATTCCTCTTCGATATTCTCCGTTTCACTATCACTGTCATCATTTAAATCAATAATGAATTCATTTCCACCATTGATATGGAAGTGTCCAATCTCCATATAGTCTTTTTCAACTGAAATTACTTTTTTAATCCTTTGCTGTCAGTCTTCTTCGGTTTTATTAGATACTTCTTCTTTAACTAGCTCTATCACCTTCTTATCAAATTTTGGAAATTTATTTCTACGCCTGATGCTTTCTTTCAATTTTCCCCAAATCAACTCGATAGGATTGAAAACACAGAAATAGGGGGGAAGTCTCAGTATGGTGTGTCCATAATTTTCAGCAATACTTTGATTGGCATACACTTTTCCAAATGTTTTTTCTGTGAAACTTGAAGTAGTAGGTTTTTGGTATAGTTATCTTCAAAATACAAATTGATATCCATTAAAAAACTTTCTATTTCATCTTTCCTCGAATTTTCATTCGGTACTTTGATGAGCTGTCATGAATGATAGGAAGTGTTGTCAAGAACTATCACACTATTCGCATCCAACCATTCCTCAAAAATATTAGCTTCCATGTTCTTATGATAGTCCACATTGCAGTCTTTAAGTTTTTTCCACATAATTTCAAAGAATTCGGAACCCATCCTTTACTTTCTCCGCAATGCACAAAGATAAGTCGCGATCCTTTGTTTGCAGTCATGTTAGGCGTACACATTCTCGAACCATCAGTCCACCCTTTCGTAACTGTGTCGTGAATGTTATACCAAGTTTCGTCCAAATAGAAAATTTGCCGTTGTTCTTGTCTATATTTGATTATTTGTTCTAAGTATTTGTTACGCAATTCCACTATTCTTCTGCTTTCCATAACTGCTTGATGTTTGTTTATTAGTTTAAATCTAAATCCTAGTTTCTTTGTCCAATTCTGAAGAGTTTTGTCACAGCAGCTCACGTTATGGCCGGAAGTATTCAATTTCTTCTGTATGATTTCAATTGTAGGAATCTCATTGCTTTTGTAACAGTCGTATATTAGTTTTTTTAATGATTTTATCAGATGAACATCTAAAGGCATCACATCGCGTCTTGCGTTCATAAGGTTTGATTTTGACTATTTTACGTACAGTTGAGAAAGGAATTTTGGTCAAATCTGCTGTTGCTTGTAATAGTTCCTTTCCCTCGAAACCAAACTTGGTATGTAAATTTTTATATACATTGAAACATATTCTCTGTGTTTCAATATTCAAATACATCCGAATCCTATTCACTGGTATCTCTTTTTCGCATTGTTCACCAACGCTATTGAAATCATCACACAGGAAAAATTCTGCGTTGTTATCACACTCGTTATTACTATAAGTATTTGTCCAAGAACGCCACATTTTAAACAAAATAACAAAAATTTTAGGTAATTATAACTTCACCAATATCGAATTTCAACACTCGAATCGCGATCAGTTCCTGAACTGAACATTGACGACACAACGGCTTTACTCATCGCTATATTCTATTGGTCACCGTAACATGACTTCAAATTTAATTTTGATTTTTCAGCCAATCATAAAACTCGGTTAGTAAAAATTATCCAATACGAACCGCCAGTTCTTCAGTCCACGTGGACTTATTCGTAGCGGCATTATTTCTTTGTATTGGTTATTTTGGCCTTTGAGTTCGCCGATAGCTTTAAGAATTAGTATATCAGTTAGTTACTTCGACTATACATACAATTTAATGTACATAAGTACGTTAACATAAATCGATATACAGGGTATTTCAAATTCGATCACCATTGGGATCTCGGAAACTATGAGAGATACAAAGATGGTTGAATTGGGGCAAAGGTGCGCATTTACCTGAATAACAATATACCACTGAGAAAGTTCTGAATTTCCGGAGTATATCCGGAGATATTCGGGAAAAACAGAAATTTCGGAAAATGATTTTAATTTTTTTCCGGCTTTAGTTTTCGAAGGTTTCTAAAATAAATTGCATTTCCATATTGCCACTTTTTTCCTGCTACATAATGGTGTTTTCAGATTTGCTATCCGACGTGTCGTCATGCGGCCATCATCATAAACTTAATTTTTTCTCATGGGCGCTAGACTGAATTCTTGCTGTTTTGAATAGAACCAGATTTTACCTTTTCAATGATGTAACATAGTCATAATTTTTTTTTCAAAAAATTGAAGATATTCAAAAAAAATAATTCTTATCATATATAGGCTGTTTCTAAATTTGACTTTCAATTTGTTACACCCAGTGACATTTTGTTATTGTACAAGTCATTGAATTTTTGGCGAAAAATGACTTTCACGAATGAATTACAAATACGATAGAAACAGTGTTAGGACGTCGCAAATGTATTTGAACTTGTATCCCAAAAGACGACAATCACATCGAACTATGTTCAAGTTATTTTGTATCAAAATCTCACCGAGTTTGGTTCGTTTGAAAAGCCAATGAAAAAATACAGAGACATAATCATCAATCAAAATTTGATAAATGAGGTGTGTATGAGGTAAATTTCATTGAAGAGGACCCATTGTCTTATTTACCTCATACACACCTCATTTATCAAATTTTGATAGTTAATTCTGTCTCTGTATTTTTTCATTGGCTTTTTAAACGAACCAAACTTGGTGAGGTTTTGATCCAATAACTTGAACATATTTCGATGTGTTTTTATCATGTTTGTAATGAATTTGTATCATATATCCTTTTTCTTCATTCGTGAAAGCCAGTTTTCGCCAAAAATTCAATGACTTGTACAATAACAAAATGTCATTAAGTGTAATAAATTGAAAGTCAAATTTAGAAACATCAAAGTCAAAGCCTATTATAATAAGAATTAATTTTCTTCAATATCTCCAATTTTTCGAAAAAGAATGATAACTTATGATACATCATTCATAGTGTAAAATCTGATTCTATTCAAAACAAAAAGAATTCAATGTAGCGCCCATAAAAAAAATAATGTTGAAGAAGGTGGCCGGAAGACAAAACGTCGTATAGCAAATCTAAAAACACTATTATATAGCAGGGAAAATATGGCAATGTGGAAGTGCAATTTATTATTGAATTATTCAAAAAATAAAGTCGGAAAAAAATAAAAACCGTTTTCCGAAATTTATGTTTTACCCGGATATCTCTGGAGATACTCGAAATTTCAATACTTTCTCAACGGCATATTGTTAGTCAGGTAAATGCACAACTTTGCCCTAATTGTAAATGTATATGTAAATGTATAATGATAATATTGGATCAAATATTAGACTGGTTCCAAATTCATTATTTGTTTTCGCATATTTTTTGTGAGTAGGTAGTTCATTGTATTCTTCAAAACCCTTTTAAAATAATGATTTCATTGACTTTGTAAGATTGTATTTTGGTAAGTGGAGTTGTCCTGTATTTCCGTTTGTTTGATGATTATGAATTCAAGATTCAAAGACAATAAAATCATGTAACTATTCTGGAATCCATTTATTCAAGACTTTGAAAAAATTTTAGATGTCAAGTATAATCTATGTGACAATGATGACCATTTCAATGAGTCCAACATGAAAATAATATTTGTATGTTGGTTGCACCTAGAGATTATTCGAAATTTTTCTGTGAACATAATTGAAATGAGCATTGAAAAAAAGAATGTTATCTAGCATGAAACCCAAATTCATAATCACGTTTACAAATGTGATTTTTTAACCATTTATTGAAAGTATATATTGGTCCGTATTAACATATTTTATCATATGTGGTGTAGCATTTCTTCAATTTTATTTATATCAAGTTTAAGTTTATTGTTATTTAGATAGAAATGAATTGTTGCTAGTGAGTTGTTCACTTTGTTAATAGCTACTAGTACAATCAGCGAACAGGCTATTAAAGTCACATGAATGGAAAAGATGCATGTCGTTTACATATAACGATTACAATAATAGTCCAAAGACACTACCTTGTGGAACGCCAAATTAATTTGCTACAGGTTGGGAAAAACTTTGGTTGATTTCAGTAACGATTTCCGAGAGAATTTTCAAAACGATGGCATGGAGTACTGTGATGACTCAATAATAGCTTATTTATGTATGTTACAAAAATTTCTAATTCTATGGGGGAATTACTCGACAGCCGAATACCTGTTTTTTTTGAGTAAACAAATAAATAACTCCAGAAAGGTTCATTATTGGTATGGGGTGTATGACATAGAGTTACATTTGCACCATGCAGGTATTCAAAAAGGTGAAAATATACAGGGTATCATTTTTGAATTAAAGAAGTTGGTACCACCTCCAGGTTTCATTCGATAAAGCATAATAAAAAATTATATATTTGCCAATTTTCAGGATATGAATTATATTATTTCCTAAAATACAGCTGGCTGACGGTCATCGCGCTGTACCCTGTATTATAATATATTTGACAATCATTTACTGAAAAAAGTTGATTGTATGTAATTGACAATTCCATCTGGAAAATCGACTCGACTTCAGGTAAGTTATTGTGATAAAACTATTTAAAAATTCCTTCAATAAGTTTCTGAATATTATCTATATTGATAATGAAACTACGAATAATATACAGACGTTTATTTATTGTTATTATTATTTGTATCGAATGGTGTTGTAATCAAAATGTACGAAAGCGTTGAAGGGCCACACAAAAATATTTTTCCCGATTTGTATAATTCTACGAAAGCGTTGAAGGGCCACACAAAAATATTTTTTTCAATTTGTATAATTCTGACTTTCATCTCAGAATTCTGAAGAAGACTTCAGTTTTGCGAAAAAATGATGGATCTACTAGACAGGAATGTTGTACATGAAGAAAACTTATATTTTCTGACGAATCAACGTTTTTGTAAAATGGTGTGATAAATCGTCAAAATTGTCGTTATTGGGCAGACAAAAATCCACACTGAATGAGCGAAGGCCACACTCAACATGCAGAAAAAGGCAATGTTTGGGAAGGGATTGTTGGTGATCGAGTTATAGGACCGATTTTCTTCCAAGAAAATCTTACTGGAGCAAGATATTTAGAATTCTTGCAGAAGGACCTAGTTCCGAATTTGGCTATTTTGTTTCCTTGTCCTATAGAAGCTGACGTGCCAAATAGAAACATCTGGTTTCAACAGGACGGCGCGCCTCCTCATTTTGCAAGACCTATCCGTGAGTACCTGAATGATGTATATCCAGGCAGATGGATTGGCAGAAGAGGACCTTATGAATGGCCACCTAGGTCTCCGGATTCAACACCTTTGCACTTTTTCTTATGGGGTTACTTGAAGAGCAAAGTTTTTAAAATCAAACCGGCAAATATTGAGGATTTAAAAGAAGGAATAAGACAGGAGTGTAGGCTAATTTCCGGCGAAGTAATCAGAAATGTTCAAAACGAGTTTCAGTTACGTTTAGGGTATTGTCAGTTAGTAAATGGACATTTTGAACACTTGTTAACGAAAGACTATTGATTTTGAATTCATTTTTTGAATTAGATAATGTTTGTTGGATATCTTTCAAAGAACAAGGAGTAAAAAAATGAAATTTGGCAGGCATGTGCAACTTGTTGAAGTCATTAAAAAAAAGGGTTGTCATTTAAAAAAAATTATCGATGACGTTATATTTCATATTTGAGACTCACTGTATAATTTTTGTTGCATTAAAATAAGGGCACTTTAAAATACTAATCGATGTGTCCGAGCATATTTCCGAAAGAAACAACACCTTTGATTTAGTGAATTTGTTCCATGTTAGAGACTCGCACTGTATAAAGTATCATTTATATCTTTTTTGAATATCGAGATTGCATCAAAAAATAAATCTGCTGTAACAAGATATTCACTGGCAATCCGACAAAGTCGATAAATAGGACTATTATGCCTTAGATTTGACTGAGGTGTTGTTCAAAAATTCTGGAACAAACTTCGCTGCCACACCGTTTATGTCTAAAATGTTCGAAAAAATTGCATGGCATGAGCCAACCAATATGCCGACATCCTCAGCAACTTCTCCAATAGTAGTTCCACGATATGCCATTACAATTTTCTTCACATTCTCAACATTTTCATCGGTTGTTGATGTGCTGGAGCGTCCAGGGCGAGCGTCGCAAATCAAATTTTCTCGACCTTCGGTGAAAAGCTTATTTTTTTCAAGGATGAAACACAAACACTACAGAAAAATCTTTAAAGCGTTCTAATAGCGATGCCTGTGCGACATTAGTGATTCACATTGGATTTGACTCAGAGTACAATCACCGTATGTCACTATCATCATTTCAACTAACTTTTATGCTTTTCACCAACAGAATGAACATGCGTCATAACAGGAATTATATGTTCGAGATGAGTGTTCCAACATGAAAAAATAAAAAAATCGCCAATCGAATGTACGTCCGCAAAATTTTAACATTCACCTTATTTTTTTAACAGTCCACTATTTTACATTGTAACTTTATCGATCATGTAAATGGTCTATGTTTTAATCCGATTCAAAACATATATCATTCATTGAAGTTCTCACTGAATACGAAAAAGTTATTTTCGTGTAATTTGATAGGTATAATAGAAAGTAGAATTTTCCTTTCGGTTTGTATCTGAAAAAAAAACCATATTGTGAATGACCTAAATATTTGAAAAATGCATGTGCTGCAAACAAAATCCTGATATATACGGATAATAAAATAAGTATAATGAAATGACTTTCAAATAGCTGATGAATTAATTTCGAATTTCAATACTACTAGTGACGAATCCACAGACCAGTCATTTCAGAAATCCTTATTCGATATCGTCTGTTCAATAGAATTTTGTTGATGGGTGAATTTTAATAAACGGAAAGTTTCGAATTTTGAAATATTTGTATGGGAATATTTATCGAAAAAAATCATGAACTGTAACTTGTTTGGTTAATTTTTGATTAGGATCGATGATTACTTTTCAAATGAAAGATACCAATAACTACTAGGTTCGATTGTACTCCTTTATTAACCACTCTGACATCTGACATTATATATTTGACATCTGACATTACATCTGACAGGAGATACCTGACATGAACATAAAGATATCAAAAGCGATATGGTTACATTTTTCAAAGTGTACTACTATTCTACTACTTAAGTCCTGTCCTTCAATACCCGTTCTGAGGTAGTTGTGAAAAAATATGTAACCCGCCATTTTGTAGCTGCAGCCATCTTGAATTTACAATAATATAGAATTCATTTGATTGTATTGTCATCAAAACTAAATGTGTATCCCAAATATCAGATCAATCTGTCAAGTAAGAGGGTCAAACTTCAATTACTGAATTTGACCCAAACAAATGAATTAACGAACAAACAGGCAAGCTGATTGAAACCGTTTAATTAATAATCAAGTGACAGAAATAAAATATTCTGGGAAATTTCTACTAAGAACAAAAACAAAATTCATCTCTTCAAACTAATTAGTAGTTTTTAAAAATATGTTGGTCAAACTAAGCGGACCATAGAAAGCTCACTACAAGAAACTTATTTGGTTGCTTATCATGCCATAGAGAACGATCACATAATAAGTAAGGAATGATTAGAAATGTGGAATGAAATCTATGAGCGGCACATTGTTAGCACTCATCTAGACGATGCATATAAAAACATTTACAAAACTGTAACATCACAAATAGCAAAAGCAACTAATGACATAACTTGATTGTTAAAAATATCTAGAAACGCGAGGTCATACCAAAATAAGACGTCTCCAGTAGAAAATTGATAAAATACAATAGGTCGTTGATTATTCATTTGGAAATATCTTTTTTTTTCCTAAAAGGAAAAAGCATTTGAGATTTATATTTATTCATAATTGGGGTTTTTATCGATGCATTTGAAAATATTCTTGGGGATTTCAGAATAACTGTGATAGTCTTATCTTGTATATAAATAGTTTCGATATATTAACTTCCTACTCGTAGTTACAATTTATATATACCCTAATAGTCCCAGAGGAGTAAATTCGAATTTAACGGATTTTTGTGAACAAGGTTGCTCACAAGTATATACAAATCTACAGAGGAATATCAAGATATCATTGTATATTTTCAAATAATTTTGTTTTCAGGTTTATATCAAATTCAAGCAAACCATATCCGAAGATTACCCGAACCGACTTAATATCATCCCGAGTGAATGCTAAAGGTAAGAATATCTACAATAGACTACAGTAATAATGAGAAGGAAGATACAGTTAAAATCCAATTCAATTCTCATCCAGAAGTTTATTAGGTGTCTTTTTGCATACTGTTACGTTTTCCCCGTAGGTTGATCAATAATTGACTACACTGAATAATCAAACTAAACTTTATTTCATTTTGAATACAACAAACACTTCAACTGAAACTTCAACTATTATTTGAATGTCTATCGCCTCACTAGAGCACTTAGCGTACCGCACTGTATCTTCCACTTGACTGTGTACTCGACTGTCCCGATATGCCCGCCACCAGCGCTTAAATAGTGTGTCTCACTTCCATCACGAGTGGCGGACAGTGTATATCACTTTGGCCAACCCCATTCAGGTGGTAGGTGCATTTTGAGCATTTCCATCAGTCCTGAGAGTTTCATCGTTTCACCTCGAATATTACGGAAGATACGGTGGTGTTTCCATAAGAAGTGAGACAAATTCGTATTTTTCAGGACTGAAAGTTTTTCAGCCCCCTAATATGTTTTACCGTAAAGATGAGGTGTTCCATCGCGAGTGGCGGACAGTGTATATCACTTTGGCCAACCCCATTCAGGTGGTAGGTGCATTTTGAGCATTTTCATCAATTCTGAGAGTTTCATCGTTCCACTTTGAAAATTACGGAAGATTCGGGGGTATTTCCATAAGAAGTGAGACAAATTCGGATTTTTCAGGACTGAAATTTTTTCAGAAAAAATTGTATTCGTAGTAAGTTGGTAGTCCTGATTAGAAATCTGAAGGAATGTTGAGCCTATTTTGCCCCCTAATATGTTTTACTTTAAAAATGGGGTGTTCCATCGCGAGTGGCGGACAGTGTATATAACTTTGGCCAACCCCATTCAGGTGATAGGTGCATTTTGAGCATTTCCATCAATCCTGAGAGTTTCATCGTTCTACCTCGAATATTACGGAAGATACGGGGGTGTTTCCATGCGAAGTGAGACACACTGAATATCGTAATCGAACATCGTAGAATTTTCGTTCCGTTCCATCGACATCGGTAGCATGACTCTCGCTGCTTCTCGAGCGCCAGGGAACATTGAGCATTCCCGCGCTCTTAGCTACGTCACATTTGGTTTATGGTTACCAGAGGCGGCCGGCGTTATTTTATTTCGGGCATGATTTGCAACAATACTTTCACTGAAAGTTTGAGGTAAACGAATTATCATCAAAAATGATCAAAAAATGTTTTCTATGAGAAATGGAAAATGTTTTGAGTGATTTGACAATTTACAGATTGCCCATATACACGAGTGAATATCAAAGTTTGAAGACATTTGAGTCAATGGGATGGAATTCAATTTATTTATATGACGTCGCCTGCGGAAGCCATTGTATAGCGAAACACGTTTTATGTTTCTCACTAGAATGTCACGAACAGTGATTCTAATTACATGTAATGAATTTTTAAGAAAAAAAGGTTTTGGCTTTCTACTTCTCCATCTTTATAAAAACAAAATCTGAGAATCTCCAAATGGAAGAAAGAAAGCATTGATTCCAAAATAAACTCTTCACAAAGATGTGTAGACCATGCAAAGAAGTAAATTTTAGACACAAACTGGAAAAAAGTCTTGTCATATAAACTGTGAATTATACAAAAAACAGTTTTTTCTGTCCTATATGTACTCCAAACATTCGTTATGGAATTGAATCCGATATCATTCCCAAAATTGCTACACAATATGGTATATCGAATAGGTAAAATTTCACACGGAACACTGTTATCCTACAATGATGGAGATCTGATGGTTTAGAATGAGACACTTGCCTTATTGCCTGTTCAGCACTAATCTGAATAACATTACAAAACGAAGGATCAATTCATTTCACAAAATAACGACTTTATGTCACGATTGAGTTACATTTACTCATGTAATCGATGACAGTACGTAATGACAATAATTTGCTCGTTTGATTTAATCTCATCAATACCTGTATATTACTAGAAGAGATAACATTTTGGGGTAGAAATGTTTTGTCTTTCTACTTCTCCATCTTCATACAAACAAAATTTGGAAATTTTCCAAAGAAAGGATGAAAGCAAGAATTAATCCGTTCTGAAAATATATCCCTTCCAAAAAAATGAATATATTTCTACAAATTATCATATTTGTCGATTCAATTTCCATTTTTATTGATAAGTAATTCTTTCGAATGTGTAATGGTTTGACATTGTATGAATTACATCACTACTACCAAACGAATGAAAACTAATTTTATTTCTAGGATGAGAATCACAGTGCTGTTCATCCTGACGATATCCTGGCATAGAAGTGGCATCCAAACCCAGAAGTGTGGCAAACCCGAAGTTACGCGAAATAATGTTTACATCTACCGAAGACCTGAACAGTTACCAGTGAAAGTGAACCGATGCTTATATAACGACACAAAACATGCTTACTCTGACATCACAGAAAACTGTATGAGAGCCTTCAAAACTGGCATATTCCAGGACAAATTCCAACGTGTGAATTATTTGAGAGAGAGAGGATCTCCAGTACTTCTGGAAGAATATTACACCTTTGCGGATCTGATAAAAAACGAGATTAGGCTGAGATCTGGAGCTACATGCAGATATGACAGGGGATTTTGTTATGATCCCAGCGAGACCAATAACTACGCAGTTGTCTGGGATGTTTTCAAGAAACCCCTTCTAGCTTGTCCCACCAGACTAGAACTTGTGTTCGTAGGTTTGGCAGATATCTGGGATTTCCATGGCGGTCAGCTGAAGTATTTGGTTTACTTAGACGAGAAGGGAGACAGAGCATTCTATCTCAAAATAATAAAAAAAGCTTATTGTGACAACAAAAACTTACTCATCACCGAAGGGAATCATTTTATTATATCTCTGATTCAGCTGGACTCAGATTTCCACTCCGGAATGCTTCCGAAAACATACTATTTTTCCATGGATACGAAGAAAGAAGTCAGCGAGGCTATCATGAGAAATTGTGATCTTCAGCAATACCCACTTGATTTCACTAACCGGATTGGAGATGAATATTTGAAAGATTCAAAAAACTTGAAGACTATCCTGGAATACTATCAACAACTTATCATAGGAGTGAAATTGGACTCGGAGAGATCGTCGACTAAGGGTGGTGTTGATAGTAACGCTAGAATTTTGAACATATTTTACAGAAATTTAACTACCCTGGAATTTCTTGTCAGTGACATAATTAAGGCAGTCAATACCATCAACGATAACCTGAAGAAACTTCAGCAGGCAAGAGTGGGAGAAAATAACAATGCTGATATGAATGTGACTATGAGAATCATTCAGGAACTGCGATCAGAAGATAAGAGGATTATGAAACGGGTTGATAATGAACATGATGCCTTAAACAATTTGGACAAAAAGATCTCTGATCTTGATCGACTCATAAGAAATCAAAATGTGAAATATCCTACTAGAACTGAGTTCAATAGAGAATTGTCGAACATTCAAAATGAAATAAATAACAAACTTCAGGTATTCATCACCAAACTGGATTCTGTGTTGAAGGAAAACTTCACAAACTTGAAAAATAATGATTCCAAGTTTCAAAAGGATATTGCAGATCGATATGATAAATCGTTAGAAAAAATTGAAAGCGACTTTGAAAACTTAGATGAGTTGGTTGAAGACATCAGAAATCAATTAGAGTCTGAAGTCAGTTCAACAAACAAAACTATAATCGAAAATTTCACTCTCGTAAAGAATAGACTAGCTAGTATCGAGCGAGAGTTATCGGAAATTCAACCATTTATTGCAAAATGGCGCGAAACTGAAAATAAAACAGAAAACGTTAGAAAAGATTTGGAAAGCCACAAAAAAAATTTACTGGGTACAATATTATTGACGGAAGGCCATATCAAAGCAATTCAAACTAATTTAACTAACACTAATTTCATATTACTCAACAATAAATTTAATATCTCAGAGATTAAAGATCGTTTCGAGAAATTACTGAAGAAATTTGGTGGCATTGACTGGGATGTTGTCAGAAATCTGAAGCCCGATACAGTGTCTCACAGAGAATTTCAAAAAGAAATAAACAAATCGCAGGAAGATTATGAGAGAAGAATCGAAAAAGTGATGAAAGATTTGAACATGGGTTTGAAACAATATAACAACAATTGTTCCCAACAATATTCCAATCTACGATTCGAAGTTTTTAGAAAGATCGACAATTTATCAGCAGATGTGACACGTAAAATAACGGAAAACGAAAATAGAGTAAAAGAACATTCAAAAAAGCTTAGTGATTCTGCAAAAATCGATGTCAAGGAGTCTGCTTCGAAAAATTTCACCAATATTCTAAGTGATATAAACAAACTCAAGTCTGCTTTATTGAATGAAAAAAAACTTGTTTTCGAAAAACTCAACGAGAATGAGGGTGACATATCCAAAATAAAAAATGAAATACAAAAATACAAAACAGATTCACTTGGATCAGTGAAGTTAAATGAACAAAACCTGAAGGATTTGCAGAAAAATATTAACAATACCAATAATATTTTACGTAATTCTGGAAAAGATATCGAGAAAATCAAACAACAAGTTGATGATATCAATGAACACATCTCTAGTGTTGAACAAAAAATGGAAGAAAACAGATTCAACACCACACAGTATTGTAAGAAGTCATACGAAGATATACTCAACCAAACTGATGAGAAAATATCTCAAATTAAATATTCAACACTACAAAATATATCTCTGTTAGAAAGGCAGCTCACAACAGTTAAGGAAGATTCATTGAAAAATCAGGAACCCATTCGTATAAGAGTCGAGAACATAGATGTTTTATTAGATAAGTTGAAAACCGAATTGGAAGAATACAAAACTGATTCAACTTCAAATTTTGGAGTGCTTAAAACTGAACTGAAAACAATCCATGAAAATTTCATTGAAACAAAAAAACGATCTAAGAATAATGGAGCGGAAACAACGAAAGTTAAAGATGACCTAGATGAAGTAACAAAAAAATTAGATGGTTTTCAGAAGACCATCTTAGAGTATAACACAGATGTGAAGACTTTGAACGACTCAATTCAGTTGCATGGAAAAAGTATCTCACAGATTTTTCCAAAACTGGTTCAATTTAGAAAAGAAGTTGATGTCATCAATTCCCACGGGTTGAATATTACAGATGATGTCCATAACCTTGAAAAAGCGGTAGATCAGATTGAAACAGAAATATTCAAAGTTAAGGATGTTCCTGTGAAAATTAAAATGCAAGGAAACGAAATAGATAACCTAAAACATCAAGTGGAAGCTCTTGGCACTGACGCAACGAAGAAAGCCGAAGAGAATAAAATGGATTTTGAAGCTATTAAACAAAATATGTCAGACATATCAAAAACTTTAAAAAACGAAGACACGAAAATCACTGATCTGAAATCAGGACTACAAGATATTCTAGGTAAACTTGGTGAAAATGAGGAACTAGTTAAAACGTCTAAACAAGAATGCTTGAATTATGTTAATACGAGAATGAAGTCTGTGACGGAAGAGATAGCGCAGATTCATGATCTGATTCTGAAGAAAAATGAAGAACTCAGAAGAGTTGAGACTGACCTGAATGAAAAATTGACCACATGTTGTGATGAAACTAGGAAAGAACTGAGAGATAAGGATATGCTCATAAAACATCTCCAGGAAAGTTTAGATAAACTTTCGAAACAAGTTAGTGAGAATAATAGTAATATTGCCAAAATTAACAAACTTATCGACCAGAATTTGAATGGAGAACCTGAACCTGCCAGACAATGAAATAATGTTAAACAGCTTCAGTTTTAGTAACTTGATATATTTTATTCGGTAGATAAATGAATATAAGCTAGTTGAATGATGAGGCTAGAGTAAAGATTTGTTATTGTCTAGAAGACTGTTGATTAATCAATTAAGTTCGAAACTGAAATATAATATTTATATAAATGTCTGTGTATTATATATTTACTTTGAATTATTGAGAAATGATTCACCTTCTGGATATTATCGGCTGCAAATCTCAAATTATTTGATGGGCTCAAGGCTTACCACATTGTATAGGGTCTATATCAATCTGATTATGAAAAGAAATGATCAAAATATCGAGATTTTTCAGTTCAATGAGATACTGAAAACCAAGTGAGAAATAGCGAAGTATTTGAAAATATTGAATAAATTGACCATAATAAAACTGACTGAGTACAAAACTTTGGATACTCCTGCAAACTCTTGATACTGAAACATCACACAATCATCCATTTTCACTAGTTCTGAATCAGTTGAATGTTTTTTATATTTTGTATTATATGAGGTATTTTAAAACTTTTTCTTTTCCTCATATAGTATTTGTGAAGGTAAACTACCCTACTATTAGATATTCGAAACTATTGATTATTATTATAGATTATTATTGATATTATTGATTATTTATATACATTGATGATGATAATGATTTTGAAGATTATGTGAGAAATTATATTATCGAAATTATTCAATATTTTCTCAATTATTCGAGATGCAGAAAAATTCGGTTACAGTGTTTTGTTTTCATTCCTTCGATATCGATAGGAAATGTAGTATAGGTACATAAAATTATTCTGATGATAATTTTCCTACGCTATCATAATTGGGATATACATGTAGAACTAGTAAATATTCATAAAATGTGTTATAAAATAGTTTTTAGTATCCAGCTTCATTTCGTAGATATGCATATGATTCACTTTTTAGAAATATGCGAAATATGGTTCTTTGAAAATATGATACTACTCAACGAACTCTACAAATTTCAAATAAACAGATTAGTGATTCAATAATTTTTCTGAAGGAAGGTTGGTTGGGTAACAGGATAATTGAAAAAAAAACGAATTCGTTTGTTTCATGTCGTTTAGTGTTGGTGTTGTCTCGAAAGTTTGTCAGTTGCGATTATTTTCATTTTTTTTAATATGCATCTAATATTTCTGCTGGTTTTAAAAATAGTAATATAATCAACACGAAAAAACTACCCCATCCACGAAGAAGAATTTAATTAAACTCGAAACCTCGGCAAGAAAACAATTGTTTTTTTTAATTGATACTGTTACTCAACGAACCTTCTTCAGTTGAATTTCAACGTCCTCTCTTGCTTTCTTCTAGAATAAATGGCTGAAAACCAAACAAACAATATATTTTTTTTTTGAAGAAAGATAATAGAAACATTTTTGAGAGCAAAATTTTATTTACATGCCCTGAAAGAAAAAAAACACTTTGAATTAAATTAAAACTATCAATTTATCACATTACTCAATTTATATGACATTAAAGGGTTGTTGCGAGATTTACCGTGTAAATACAATATTCAACTTGATCCTAACATGGGCAATTCTTATAAAAAATTGTATGTTTCTTGATGAAGAAGATAAATCTTGCAACAAAAATCATGGAGAAAGTCGTAAACCACCATATCCTCAAATATTTGGAAGGCTTCAATATCTTGAGCGATCAAGCGATCGTCATTATGGCTTTCAGGAATATCAAGATCAACAGGCAACCTTCTATCGAATGTCATCCAAATTTGGGATAACGCAATCGAGAAAAATGTAGAATCAAGAGCTATTGCTCTCGATATTTCTGAGGCCTTTGACAGTGGGTGGCATGAGGTTTTGCTGGCCAAGCTTCGATGATTTGGCTTGTTGGATAATTTTTGTGTATGGCTCTTCAGCTTCCTGAAAGAACGTTTCTTGCAAGTGGCCCTCGATGGGTATCTCTGGAATACTTTCCCCAGGGATCTATCGCTACTTTCGCACAATCATCGTTCGGAAAGTGCCTTAAGGATTTTCCTGTAGTGCTTGTGTTTTGTCTTAAAAAAAAAGCTTTCATATCATATAAATTTCGTAATCTAATGAATTGATGGGTTTGAAACATATATTCTATGAGATGAAAATTCCCATGACTCATTTATAAGAGATATTTAAATCAGAATTTCTAGGTTTTGTAAAAGAGTTAACTCAATTTCCATTTATCGATATGGCTCTAGAGAGAAAAAATCAACGGATGATGCAATTTGTCAACTCACAACGTATGTATAAAATTCATTTGATAAAATTAACCCATCGCTTTGTATATTTGTTGATCTCTCTAAAGTCTTTGATACTGTGAGACATAAAAAATGAATTGAAATAATATTGCATGAGAAGTAACACTCTCAATAATTTTAAGAGTTATTAAACAGATCGTGGGTGAAAAGTTCACATTGGCGAGATTTTGAGTGAACCAATGACTGGTACATATGGAGTGCCACAAGGAACGGTATTGGGCCCTCTCTTGTTGACTCTATATATCAATAGCTTACTGAATTTAAAAACTTAAAGCAAAATTATGGGTTTTGGAGATGACACCTCTTTATTTTATGAATCTAAGTGATGGAAATCCTTGAAGTCAGAAGTGGAAGATGATTTCAAGATTACAGATAAATGGTTCAAATATGACACTCTGACACTCAATTCAGAAGAATCAAATTCAACTACATTATTATAGTTATGGTGATGTAAATGACAATCACTTGAAAAACTTGAACACAAAATTCACAGATGAATTTTGATAATCAATTTGAAATGAACAGCCGTATAACCAATCACTTTCATTTGATATTGAAGTCAGAAGTGGAAGATGATTTCAAGATTACAGATAAATGGTTCAAATATGACACTCTGACACTCAATTCAGAAGAATCAAATTCAACTACGTTATTATAGTTATGGTAATGTAAATGAAAATCACCTGAAAAACTTGAACACAAAATTCACAGATGAATTTTGATAATCATTTTGAAATGAACAGCCGTATAACCAATCAGTTTCATTTGATGTCAGACAGAGTTTTGTTTGGCTATGATTCTCAATACAAAAAATTACCTTTCAAATTTGTGGCCATCAACATAATACCAGAAGTAAATATAATTCGTGAATCGTACCACGCTACGATAAAACATTATAGGACAGCGTCATTATCTTGCACCAAAACTATATTCTTCACTTCCTGTCGAAATGAAGAACATAAATAGTATTTCTGATGCACTGTTTTGGAACCTTTGGTGTAGTAATGAATATTACTGGAGTTTTTTTCCTAACACCAAATCGTTATTTTTAACACTTCGACACGTGTTTCGATCACCAAGTGATCATCTTCAAAGAGGAAGATTGAAACTTCCTCTTAATCTTCCTCTTTGAAGATGATCACTTGGTGATCGAAACACGTGTCGAAGTGTTAAAAATAACGATTTGGTGTTGGGAAAAAACTCCAAAAATATTCATAAATAGTATTGGTCTCTTCAACAAAAACATAAAAAACAAAACAATGGCTGTTGAGTTGCCAAAGAGGATTTTGTCAACCGAAGGAATAAACGTTGAACTTCTTCAGGGAAATGAATGATTTTTGCAAATCCATTATAAATCATCTAGTCGAATATAAATGGATATATTTTCACAAATTTTAAATCACTTTCATCAGGTATCGCTGATATATTTCAATTTTTGATATTTGATGGAATTTATAAATGTTATAAATTTTATTACCAATTCTCGATACTTTATTGTACTATTTTTAGTGTTGACTGTCTACTGCTCTAAATATAGGAAGTCACGATAGTTTCACACGAAGACACCAAAAGCCATGTTGGTTAAACCTCTGAAGAAGCTAGCCACTCGCACTAGCGAAACATCAGGAAGAACTTCCAAATATCTACGGCTTTCAAACTTGAAAAACAGTGACATTGAAAACCTCAGCCGCGAAAGTCTAAATCATTTTGATAAATAGCTATTATTTCTCATATAACTGCTCGGTCATTCGGACACCTACGGGATCGTATTTGTTTATATAAAATACCCGTAAACTACACAAATTGGGACATTTTATTATTAGAATTGCTACGTGTTAGGAGTCACACGTTAAAAGGTAAGACCTCATTAGTTCCTCAACAGCTCGCACAAGTTTCTCAACTTCTGAGAGTTGTCGTTCGTATGTGGGCGACAGCTGGTTAACAGAAAAACAGATTTTGAAACAGATTTAAACAGATTTTTTAAAAACATACAGATAAGTGTGATGTGTTCAATCAGTGAACCATTTACATTCAACTAAGCTGCAGCTTCAAATATATGTTATATTAGAAATCACATAACATATATAAAATAATAAATATCGAAGAACGTCAACAGTTCGACACATATCGTCGATCTGGATGCATCGAGGGAATCGATGAGCCGTTCCTCTTCAGCAGCGCATTGCCCACGAATCTACCGGAGAATAAAGTCTCGGTATACCGAAATGAATCAATTCCCGCAAGAAAACGATGGCAATCTAGAGATCAATGGAGGGCGACATCCCATGCCGTGGTACTTCCATCCAGGCCGCATTGTTACTCTAAACTACCGCCTTATCGGGGCATCATCTAGGAACATCCTTCCCGAACCGATTCGCATAATGTACCAGAGGTCCCAAAACAAACTAGAGAGAGTTAAAGGATCATTTTGAAAGTTTTTACTAGTTCGTTTTACTGTATTTTCATTTCACGCAATGAAGCCTGAAATGAAAATACAGTAAAACGAATAAAATAAAATAATCAAGATAAAATCGAGCCAGATCGAGCCGAGCTGAGCAATTATTCATTCTTTTCCGTATGAAAAAATACTAATGCAACAACGTCCAGCCTAGAAAGCTCAAATTTGACACATAAGTACTTTACAACACCAAGGCAAGGAATGTGAAGGGTTTTTTTTGGAATCCCATTTTTGAAAGGGACCTTTCTGTGCACATTCATCATTTTCAACGTTGAAAACGTAAACATTTTTCACTCAGCCTTTTTGCTAGATAGAAAACGACACTTTTATCGGAGATTCTCGAATTTCTATCTCGAAGCAGACAAAAGGTGGACTACATCTTCTCATGGTAAGCAATTTCCAACATCAGAAACA